ACAGCCCTCCCCGTCCTCGTAATCTGGGCAACGCCTCTTCAATGACGTCCAGCAGTACCAGCAGCCCCTCCATACTCAGTGGTACGTCCCGTTCAGACTGATCAGGTGATGCGGGTGAGGGGGGTGAGTCCGGGAGGTCGTGTGGGGTCACAGAGGCAGTCCTGACTGACTCTGGTGTGAAGCTGATGTCGTGGGCAGCAGACCTGGGGGAGTCAGGAGGGAAGGTGGCACCCAGGCCTGGGGACATGGTGGGACTGCCTTTGGTGGAGGAATAGGGAACAGGACTGGATGGGCCAGTCTTGGCTTTAGTGTCACCGTTATCACTGAGCGGAAGGCTTAGCTCACTGTCGATGTCACTGTTGTTACCATTGTTTGGTGGGGATTTGGGAGGGGAGTCTCTTTCTGGTGACATGTCACGGAAAGCTGGAATCACAAATAAGGACAAAGTGAGCAAAACTTTTTAAGAAAAAAATGACTACTAACTTACATTCACACCTGATTCACACTGACAAATTTTACCCAAAGCTTCATGCATTGGTACCAGGTAACTTTCAAACAAAGTTCTTGACAATTCTAAGAAGAGTCCAGAATTAAGGAACAAACTAAGTGGTAATACCTTGCTGTCTATTGGTGCTGTGCCTTGGGGATTGCCCAGTTCTCCTTGGAGAATCAGTCTTCCTTCTCCCAGGTGTTACATTGCCTTCATCTTGTGGTGCCTCCTCTGTTTCCCTCCTTCTCCCTGGGTGACTCTGTCTGGGACTTGTCCCTGGCCTGATTTCCTTGGTCTCTAGGAGAAGCTTCTCTACCAGCATCATCTCTGTACCTGCCTGTGTGAGCGTTCAACTGATTGTCATATTCTGGTGCTGTTCCTGTTCTTCCGAGTACGACGCTGACCTCACCATTGGCCGCCTGCTCTCGTAGCCTCCATCATGGTTTCCCTGCCTCCTGTCAGCATGTGTAGGCTCCTGGTAATGTGCAGATGGGGTTTGTGGGTCGCCTCTGCCCACTGACGAGTGTGGGAGAATGCTGATGTCTGTCGACTGTGGTGGAGGCATCCACTGTGGTACAGTTTCAGTGTGCTGCTTTGGATGCATTTTCCAGCTGTCTGGGCTGTCCACAGCGGAAGCTTGCTGCCTAGGTAGCCCTGTGTTACTACTGTATGGCATGGAATATGGTGTAGAGTGGCTGCTGGGACCCAAGTTTGGGTAGGCTGGAGCAGGTGGTGCATGTTGTGGACTGGATTGATGCAGTCCTGGTAGCATGTTACTTGTTGGTCCTGAATTAGAAAGAGGATAGGACAGGCCTCTAGGGTCTGTAGCGTGAGGTCCATAGTCCATTGGCTGAGTTTTTGCATCGTGGTGGGCTACCCGAGGAGGCTGATTCTTTGGAGCTGTAGGCTGTAGACATCAAAACAAAAGAGTGAATAAGATCATGTCCTTGATAAGATTAATTGGACATAAGTTGCATTAGGCAGCCTAGCATAAAAGAGCAGATGTATTTTCTTTTGTGACACTTTTTGGTACTACACAAAGTATAAGAAAGCAGATGGTGATTTTTCTTCACCATACCTTTTCTTGTCTCTTTCTCTCCAGTTGTTCTCTCCATCTT